GTGGTAGGGGCATCTTCATGTAGACACTGATACAACCCGAAATCATAGCCAGAGAAAGTGTTAGAGGAAGACTGGGAGCAGTATGGAAGGGTCATCACTGAATGCGAGAGAATGTCCTGGAGGTCCATAAGCGACAGCAATGAACCTGTACTCTGGAGATGGGGAAAGTGGCAGAGCAGGAGGGGCATGAGTTCAAAGAAACAGAAACTTTTACAGAGTGAGTGCAATGGGATAAGAAGCCCAGGAGGTTATGGTGGCAAGAACTCTGTTTCTACTTATTGACCTCAGGGAAAAAAATAAAAATCTCCACTTGAGAGTCCTGAAGGGATGCCTTATATTCAGAGAACACATAAGCTTTCTAAATGACAAGGGAGAAGGAGGGAATGTTGTGGAAGATGTAGCCAAGTGGCTGATTACCAAGCTGAGTTTGCAGAGGGCACTGTGAAAATGTTTGGGGAGGAGGGGAGAAATGTGAGGTTGTAGAGAGAAATGCAGAGGTGAATGCAAGGACAGGAGAGGTGAGGTCTTCTGTCTCTTGGAAGAGGCTGCTATCTGGCCTAAAAGGTGATCTCTGGCCTGGGAGGGAGGCTCAGTTACAGGGTTACATGGCTGTTTTCCTTGGTCTCGCTGATTTTGGCAGCTGTGACAGGTGCAGCAGTGGCCATGGCGCCCAGCATGCATTGGTGAGGGCAGAGATGGAGGGTCACTGAATCATGGTTTTTTTTAGCTTGCTCTGCGTCCATAAATCTGCCTGTGTTCATGTGGCTCACGATCTTGACGGCCTTGTGGAGCTGGGAAGGGGAGTGCTTGGTATTCAGCTAAGGAACAAAGTCCACTGAAGTTTTGCTCACTAGTAATATTTGCTTTTTCACTTTATATTAGTCTTGAAGGTGGTTTTTTTTTTCCTCCAAAGATGAAATTCCCACTATTTATAGGCACTCAAAGTGTTTTCTCAGCAATATCTTTCTAAATGGGTGGTTTACAGATTGCTCTAGGCAGCTATGCTACAGAGCCATTCTCTGTGACCTAGAACATCTCATTTGGAAACAGATGTCGACAGGAGTTTTGAAGAGGGTTCTCAGCCAGTTCCTGCACTTTCCTTTTCCCCACTAAAGTGTAGTCCATCTCTCATTTGACCTGCCTTGCCTCCAGAAAGCTCACCCTGATTTTCCTCTCTCCACTAGGATTTCTACAATCTTTGATTCACCCTTCTGTTTAACACAACTTTACCAAAGACCTCACACATGCAGGGGAAGGATAACAGAACACATTCCTGTTGAATAAATGTTTATTTTGACTTTCTGACCTCTTAAACTGTGAGCTCCTTGAATGTGGGACTGTGTTATCACATCTTCAGTGATAGACAACAATTACTGTGAAGATTGAGTTAGCTGTTGTGAACCGCAGTATTGTGAAAACTCAGGAGCCATCAGGGGCAGGGCCGGTGCTCCAAGCATGTTTTCAATCACCCTTATTACACCTTCTGATTCCTTAGCCTTAACATTCCTATCATGTGTTCCTTATGACCAGGGCTCATTAAGATTCCTACTATGTGTTTCTTCAGCTTCTCTGCTGAAGAAAGCAAATACCAGAGACAATTATGCTCAGCATCATGGACACGGGTCTTTTAAGGAAGCAGTTTCTGCTTTACACAGGAAATTTTTGTTTGGATTGAAACCCAGTTTTAAAGTGTCTCCTGTGTAAATGATGAGCGCAAGACTTTGGCATTATCTCCTTGTGTGCTTGATATCCAGATTTACTGTTTGTTATTTGGATATATTTCAATGAACTGAGGCTGGTAATAGTAGAGGAAAAGATATTTGTGAAACAGTTTAGCTGTGATAGCAATTATGATGAAAACAAGAAGCACTACATAAATGCCTTATGCAGTAATAATTGTAAGACTTAATTTGGAGTGGCTTTTCCTTATTTGCCCAATAAATTCTATTTAATTATTTGCTACAGCATTAAACTTCCAAGAGAAGCTATGCATGGTCTCCACCTGTTTTAAATACTCTGTGTCTCAATTACAGGCTTGCCCTTGTGAAACGTTAGAATCTCACAATCCATGTTAAAGCTAATGTTTAACTGGAAAACACATCAGTTAAAGTTATCTTTTAGATTTTATGTAAAACCCACGCATGCTGGCACTTTGCTTGCCATTAACAGAGACTGGAATCCTATTCTTTTTGAAAAGTTCATTTTCTTTTTCAAGACCATGAAATACCAAACTGAACTTGACCCCGAACAGGCTCTCAGTTTCAAACTGGATGTGAAAACCACTTACGAATCATGTGAGTTAATTTCACAGAAAGAGAGGGGACATTTCAAATTTCTCTTACGAATCATGTGAGTCAATTTCACGGAAAGAGAGGGAACATTTAAAATTTCTAAGTCCTCTCTGAATTGCTTATACGCATATTCAACAATTCAGTGATGCAGCCCTGGATATACAAAGACTTGAAGAATCAGTATGGTTGTAGAGAGTACGTAGCCACCTTGTATCAATGCTGCATTTCTCTCCCTCAAACACTGACCTGCACAGCTACGTTTGCAATTACGTTTACTGCCGAATAGATTGTTAAGCCGACAAATGGGTCACTGGCTCTCTACAGGTGTGTGCATCTTCCTGAACCAGTCACAACTCACAAAGAAATAAAAAATTTTGCTGAGATTCTGGAACTAGCATACTAAACTATAAAAGTATAATTACGTTTGCAATTTAAAATGTCTTAATTCTACAGTAAATAAGGGGGTGGGTGGAGGTAGGTACTTGTAAGTAAGCATGGGACCATGAAAAGCAGAGATGTTCTAGACGTGACTGCCACTGCTCTGAAGCTTGGCAAGGGAGGCAGCTGGAATCGACACTTGTCTGAAGCAATAATCGGGGCAAAGAGGAAGTCTTCTGTGACCCTAAATGAAGAGTGGAGTTTTGTTTTGAGATAGTCCTGTCTGCCAGTTCAGAAGTAATACGTTATGGAATTGTTATAAATACTAATTTATTTCAGGTTATTGTACTATAAAGCAGAAATTTATGAATATAATCATTGACATACTTATTTCTTCAGGTCTTTATAAAAATAGAAGGATTTTGCATCATTTTAGGGATACAATTTTTAATTGTATTTTAATTTCAATTTTGAATTGAATTATATACATTATTTAATTTATATATAATTTAAATACATATTATATATAAATATAATTTACTTAATTTTAATTTTAAGATGTAGAAATTATGATAAATTTATGTACATTTTACACTTTGTTAATTACAGGAACATATGTTGAGTATTACTATGTACTGGGTCTGACGTGACTGAACAAAAACACAAGGTCCCATAAAACAGTCTTTCCCTTTGAGAGGCTCAGTTCAGTGTGAGGGATGGACACTAAAAATAAATATTCCAGAAATTAACTACAGCGTAAACACTATGATAAGGATCAGTTGTTTCTCCCTCTCTCTCCATTTCCATCTCTGTCTCCCTCTCATTCTCTCTCACTCTCTCTCTCTGCTTCATTCAAGATTTCTAGTGTTTTTAGAGGATATCAAAGAAAGATCATTGTATAGTAAAAAGACTTTGGAGTCCGACAGCCCTGGGTTGGACTCTCAACCTTGAATGATAACAGTTTCTTAACTCTGGGTGAATTATCTTGTTTCTCTCAGTCCAGTTTCTACATCTGCCATGGCTATTGTGTGAATTAAGTGAGATCATTGGGGTAAAGTACCAAGGGCCTCAGCTGACTCCACAAACTTCCCACTTTTCCCATTCAAACCTGAGATTTCTCTTCAGTGAAGAGTGAGAAAGGCAAATATGAAAAAGAGGGCATTTCCTAACTCTCATAAGGGCTCTTTAAAATAATCAATACAGAAGTATTTATTTTATTAAACTTCCCTTTCTCACTTTTTTGAGACTTTGGTTAATTTTATCTTTCTGTGTCTGGCTGTCCTATCTTTAAAATAAGGTGGTTGAAATAGTTGGTTTTGAAAGTGCTTTTATGCTATGATATTTCCTCCCTTTCTGCTCACTCTAAAAAACAATAAGGAGAATACAAAGCAGAAAGGGGAAAAAGATGATATTCCAATAGATTTAAAAATTCAAATGGTGAAATAAAAATAGAACTTTAGAAGAGATTAGCATTGATTACAATCACATTCTTTTTCCTGTGCAAAGAACGAGATAACTGATTTGACAACTATGAGGGTACATATGGGGCCAATGGAGGCCATATTAGAAATCAGAATTCTTCAGAAAAATTCAGAGGTGGTATTCTTACTTCAGTGCAACTATTAGGATGATAGTGATAGGATATATTGAAATGTGCCATTGGATTATTGTCATTTGATGTCTAAAAGTATCATGAGGGCTAAAGTAAGCTTGTCTTGGTTTTCTACTTCTGAACTGAATGGGCTGTTGAGAATGGCTGAGTTTAGTACTCTAGGGGACAAAACCCTAAGTGTGGGTTATCTTTCCTGCCTTGCGGAAAGATACAGCAGCAGCAAAAATGATTGAGCCATAAGATGTCTGTAGGAGAGATCATTAAGAAGGATCCTTGAGTTTGATTAACTATCTGTGTGTGCTGTTCTGGGGCAATACAACTTGATGTATAAATTGTTTTTATTGCCATGGAGTAACATGGAGTACACTAAAGAATATTTCAGTATAAAAAGCCACGTTAGCACCAAAATAAAATGAGGCAAAAGCAATTTTGTGGAGAACTACCACACAAATATTTATAAATTTCAATAGCAGAGACGAATTCAAAGATGCTGATTCTGTTCTTCATTGTATACATATTTCTGTCTTGCTCCTTCCATTATTATTTCTTTCTTGTTCTATCTCAATAGAGTTGAATTGCCTAACAGCACAAATAAACACTAGGGCAATTTTATATGAAGTATTCTTCATAGTTATTTTATTAAAAAATCACTTGAAAAATATGTATTAAATTTAAAATGAATTCATTATTTAGAGCAAAAGAGACTCTGGTTTCTCAACTTCTCATTAAAATCTTTCTTAATTCATGATTAAAATATCAAAAGCTATAGTATCAGGGAAACTCCATTGAAATATAGGCACATCTATACCAAAGTTAGCAGAGAAATGGGTTAAGTGTTAGCATTCATTAATTCATTCGAGTTGTCAATTCCTATTATTAACTAGATATTGGGAGAGTGAGGAAGGCTATGACAGAGGTCCTGATCTCAGATAGCTACAATCTGCTGAGGGAAGCAGGTCAGTACTGATCTGATAGTAACAATCACAAGGCAATGGAGTACACACAGGAGGGACCCTGATTTTTTTGGAAGGACAGGAAAGGTTTCTGGGAGGACATAGCCGCTGGGTTGATCTTCTTGGATGACGGTTTATAGAGGTGAAGAGAAGGGCTTGGTTGGTGGAGGAAGCAGTGTATGAAAAGGCACAGAGAAAGGGCACGAAATATGTGGAGATTCATGAGTAGTTTGTTAGGTCTGGAGAAAAAGTTTGCAAGTTGGAGATTGGTAAAAGATAAGGCTGCGTAGATAGACATGATGACATCAATATTTGTCTTTGATGAAGTAACAGGGTCTGGATTTATCCTTCCACATGAAACAGCTAAACAATAGGAAAAAAATATATGATGGAGAAGTTTTTAGACAATGCACATTAGGCAGCTCGTGACATTGATCCTGGAGAGGGAAACCAAGCAGGTGAAGCCTATGATTGTTTTGTTTCTTCCAGGAGAGTTTCTAGGCCACGGCAGGAAGAGAGAATTCAGGTGGAGTCCTTAGGTTTTGCCAAGATGAGAAGATGGGTCTGAGAGTCCAGAGAGGCCAATGTGGTCATCTCAATACATAGAAAAAAAGAAAACACAATACTTATTCACAAGCAAATCCAAACTAAATGGCTACATACATTTTACTCTCAAAGACACATTTGGAGTAGGTATCTTTATAAACTCAAGCAGTAGAATCTGTGAAGGATATGATTTAATGTGTTTAACTCTGTTTAAAATTTAATGATTACCATAATAAAGACATCATTACAGAATGATAATCCAAATGGTAATTAACATTTCCGTTTTGTTGCTTCAAGGTCAACATGGTGGCAGAGCAGCCTGTTTCTTCCATCGCCTTCTGACATTTCATTTCACTATGATAAACATTCATAGCGTAGATTGATATGACTTTTGGCCTCTCTCCCTGAGCTGGATCTGAATCCTGGTGGTTAGAGGCAGGGAAATTAATGAGTCTACCACTTTGCCTCATTCTCTGCTCCCCTCTTTAGACGGTAATTACAGTGACACCATTCATGCTATTATGGTTAAGCTTTTCCATTAGAAAACCAGTCTTTCTTCTGAGATTAATACTTAACCTATGAAAACAGTCTACAAATTTAAATTTGACAGAAAATATATAAACCAATAACACTGAAATTGTGACCTTAAAGGCAAAATTGAGAAAAAAAGTAAAAACAGGGCTGATACATAATGTAGTACAAGTTGCGCACTGAACAATTCCAGAGAATGTCATTCACGTAGAGTTGTGCATCAATGCTTCTATGTTCCAAATTAGCTTAAGCAATTTAAGCAGTGGAGGAAAGAAACCACATTTATAATAGGCTAAAAGTTAATCTGTGAATAAGTACCTTAGAAATGCTGCATTAAAATTATGGGTAGCAGGTAAAATCTTAAAGAAAATTTTCTAAGTTGCTGCATACTGAGTGTGACAGATCCATCTAGGATAGAAGCTACTAAAGGTGATCTTATAAGAGCTGGTGACTAAAGAAGTGAAAGCTCGCATTGTTTCATACGGGAATGAGAATTTAAAGTAAAGCTCTTTTTCCCCTATGCTTCCGTTCCTATATTCGTAACCAGGGAGTTGAGATCTCCTTTTTAGCTGGGGCTGGGCAGCTGGCAAGGTGCATCTATTGCTCTGAGTTGTTGGAATTAACTAGACGTGTTTATTTAGAGATTAATTCTTCTATCATGACAGATGGTCCACCAAATATGGTGTCTGTTTTTTAGAGCATACTTTCTGGGCTTTTCGTTTTTATTTAGGCCATGATACCAGGTGCTCTGCAATTCCACACTGTAGTAGCAGTAAAGAATTCATTTTAAGCATTTTTTGTAATTGGAGGCGATTTCACTGAACTGTGGTATAAAGGTCAACATAAGGAGGATCTATCAAATGAAAAGGATGATAGCATTTTACAGAGGCCTCTTCTCTACTACATCACTGTAAAATCTTTACCTATCCTTTTGGGTTTATTTATTGGCTTCCCGACTGAAAATGTAAATAAGTTTCCATTTGTCTTGCAGCTGGAAATGTTCAGGCAAGAACAAAGAGCTGAACCCCAAAGGAAGGAGAAGGTCTGAGGCATGGTGGGCTACGCTGGGGTCCTAGGAAAACTGAGAGGTTGGTTTCCTGGACAAGATACCTGGACATTCTGGCCCAACAGCAGCCCCAAGAGTAAACACCTGAGCTCCCATAGAACGCTTAGCGCTCTCTGAAATGCCTGGGGCTGAAGCAGTGACCGGACTGATCGAAGAAAGAGGATGAAACTCAAGATTTTTTATACTGTAGACCTTGAGGTCTCAAGGTAGGGCTGTGTCCCTGCCTTCTATCTGCTGCACAGCTGGGAATTTTCCTAGCATCTGGGGGCTGCTCAAGGAATGTTTCTTGAATGAATCAATAAATAAATGGTTGTCTTTCCATACACACTGTCTCATTTTATTCTGAGAACTGACTCCCTTGAATTTTCATTTCAATGAATGTTACTGAATTTCAAGAAGACTGACAATATGTTTGAGATAATGTCCCTGACGTTAAGAACTCAGAGTCTGGTAGGCATCTAAGAGCTGTCAGTATACCAGAGCATGTAAATGTTCATGGGATAAGAAATGTGAATGCGTCCAACTCTGCAGGGGCATGAGGTGGTCGGGGGCGGGGGGGACTGATTTACACCTGTCGGTTCCTGGAGTCTTGAAAGGTGAGCAAACTTTCTTTAGACACTCAAATGAAGAAATCTTTTTTCAAGCGAAAGGCTGGATGTCAGCACATACCCAATCACCCGGAGATATCAAAACACATATTTGGATTCAGCAGGTCCTGGGTGGGACCTGAGATCTTGTGTGTCCTAGGTAACATATTCTAGTAATGCTGATGCTGTTGGTCCGTAGACTGTACTTTGAGTATCAACACTCTAGAAAAAAGTCATATTTAGAGAAATATAAATAATCTGTTATAACCAGAGCACCGTCTCCAAAGCGGTGGCTGTGTGCCCCAGGGGACGTGCAAGATGGGAGTGGGAAGGAATCATTACAGCTTTTTTTGAGAACACACTCAATTTTTTACTAATAGGGTTTAGTGTTAAAAGAAAAAAAATGATGGGTTTAGACAGAAGTCCTGCAGTGCATAGGAAAAGGCAAGGCATAGATCGTTATCTCATTCTTTAGACAGAGATGCCAAGACTCTGAGATGTCAAGTGATGTGCCCGGACTCACCAAGCTGAGGCCCGAAAGCAGACTTCCAACTCTGAATCTAGTCCTCTTTCCTCTCCTCTGTGCCTGGGGCACTTAGCTGGAGAACAGAGCCATAAAACAAGTCAGAGCCCCAGGGGGAAACCTCACCTACAAATGCACTTTTCTTCTGACCTCTAATAAAACACAAGCAGAAAAGGAAAGTTGCAAAAGCCAGATTGTCTTACATAAGCATCTCATTTGAGATAAAACCTCCCTTGCTGATGTCGTTAATCACCTTACCTCTTCCCCTCCCCTCAGAATCCCTGGTGACAGCGCAACTACAAGCTGTTTTGTATCTGTATTGCGGCTATCTCAAGATCAGTTAGTAATTTTCACAGAGCCGTCGCATAGAAATACAATAGGGGATGTGGACAAAGTCAATGGTTGTGAGGCCACGGTGCACAGTTTGAGTTGTCTGTGGGCACATCCAAATGGCTGACACATCTTATGGTGTCAACCTGAGCTTTAAAAATGATTTTATCATAACAGAAGAAGGAAGCCATAAACTGGGGAGGGGTGGAGGTTGAGTATTACCATTGAAGTACTTGCTTAGTTAGCAGTCTTGCAAATGAAGTGAATTCCACTTTAATATTGCAAAAGACGTTTAGCAAGTCACCTCCTGCAGGGGGTGTGGGGGAGACCCAGGAGTCAGGCCCTGCAGATATACTAGACATTCCTGCCCAGTGCATGAGAGGTAAAAAGTATGTAACATTTAAAAAACAGTTAGAGTCTATTTAGAATGTGCATGCACTCTCTCCTTTGCCCTAGTCTGCCTCCTTTGTTATTTTTGTTACCCCTGTAAGCCCTGCAGGAATGGGAGGTTTGGACTCCTGAGGACTCCAACACCTTCCAAGTGCTGACACAGCGTTCCTGACTAGAGACTGCTCAGAGGCTGGAGACTTTCACAGGCCCCTTACCATTTGCCATATTGAATCATTCTTGAATACCTCATTGCCATGATTATGAACCGAGTCTAAGGCATTTATTCCTGTTGATTAACTCATTCATTCCTTCATGCACTCAGTTATTCAATTATTAACTTTAACAAGCAAGTCTTACCCAGCTCCTTCTAAGTGCTAGTCACTGTGGGAGTCCTGGAAGAAACAGAATGCACACCATTCTCGCTCATTAAGAGCCACCAGTCTAGAGGAGGGCAGATAAACAGGTAATCACAGCCCGGTGGGATCCATGCTGGCATGGAGTAGAATCACTGATGAACTGGTTTCTAGTTCCAGATCCTGAATTTGTCAGCAGTGGAGGGTAATACCTCTAAAAGGCTGGGCAATCTCTGGAGACATCAGCAAACGCAATAATAGGGAGGAGAAAGTGGCATTTACCGAGTATTGGGCTAGCTATAGCAATTATCCATCCATCTGTCTATCTATTATATCTTTGCACGCATATACATATATATATAATGAATATGCATATACACATACACATATAGATATATTCACAAATATACAGACACATACACGTAATTGTATATATATGCGTACACATATAGTATGTATACACACATAACACATATTTCTATTATATATACAAACACATTTTTCATTTTTCCTCAGATGAGGCAGTATCTTCAATTTACATCAAATTAAACTATAATCTAGACTCTAAAGAACTTGCCAAAGTTACTCTGAATCCACAAAATTCTAGCTCCAAAGCCAACATATTTCTGAAACACATGTCCTTAGAAGGCAGATGTAACACCTAGTTCTTACTATAAATGCTTTAATTGAACATACAGAAAAGAAGCACAGTGTTGCTCTGGGTTATGGGAAGCGTTCACTTTTTTCTGTTTGTGCACAGATTCTTTCGTATGTTCTGGGTCACTATAGTAACATAATCCAGCTCTAACTCCTTCCCCAAGAGGTAATCTCTCAATGAAGAACTACTCAGCTCTGCCAAGGAGTGACCCCCTAGGTAACAAATGTTTCCCTGTTAATAATTCCCTTTTAGAGTGTTTAGGTCATGGACAATCCACTTTCAACAATTCAGGAATCATATTTTAGAATTTCAAGAGGGCATATCTTGTATTACGCCATGGATTGCTCAGTAACTGTGAATCTGGCATCTTGAAAACATACTCTCATGGACAATAAAACAAACCAAAAGGATTTTCAGTCTAATCTTTCATGATGTTTCCTGGGTTTTACGTATTAAATGCATGCACTCTCGGTTCTGAGGTTTGAGAGGCCGGCTTACTTGAGAGAGAAGGGAGGAGGGGCAAGTAAGGCATCAAAGTTCTTTCCACTTTCCCAGGCCATGGAGAGTACAGGTTTTCCATAGCTCATAGACCACCAGCTCGCCTCAGAGCATCTCAAACTGGTTCAATCCAACCTCTAGCCTTACCCCACTTTGGTCAAAGTGTAAAAGCGGGTAAGTAGTGTGGGGGCCTGGAATTGGCCACCCCAAGATATGTCTCTTTGGCATGATGATTATTTGCGGCTGGTTACGTTGCAGGCAGGAAAACAACTGAAAAGTAGAATTTACTTACCCTTTGTAAGAGACATTTACATTGTAAAGGAAATCTCCAACTGTAAAGATATCTCCCTCTCTGCCAGGAAGAAGGGGGGATGACCTTATGTCTAGAAACTCTTAATCAATGGGGAAGGCAAGGACTTAAATCTGCATTTGTTTATTGTGCTTGTCTGGTAACCTCCTGTAACTGACTCTCCCCACCCCCAACTTCCTCTTTTGTCTTTAGCAGGATATGATATTTAAGGTGGAGGCTTCAGCCATTTTGGCGAGTTGCTCAGCTTGCCTGAGCCTCTCCCATGTATACAAGTTATAAAGCTTTGTTTAATTTTCTCCTGCTATTCTGTCTCATGTGAATTTAATTTGTTCTCCAGCCAGACGAACCCAGAGAGGGTAGAGGACATGTCTTCCTCCCCTACTGTAGTCACCACTCTACCAGGCTCCCAGCTTACTTGGTGTCTTAGTCAGCTCAGGCTGCCGTAACGAAATACCACAGACGAGGCAGCTTAAGCAACAGAAATTTATTTTCTCACACTTCTGCAGGCTGGAAAGTCCAAGATCAAGGTGCTGGCTGATTCAATTCCCTGGTGAGAGCTTTGTTCCTGGTTTGCAGGTGGCTGCTGTCTCACCGAGTCCTCACAAGGAGAGTGACCTCTCTCTCTTCCTCTTCTTATTAAACCACTAATCCCATCCTGAGGGCCCCACCCTCATGATCTCATCTAACTCTAATACCACCCAAAGTTTCCATTTCCTAATATCAATCATGCTGTGGCTTATGGCTTCAACATCTGAATTTGGGGAGGACACAATTCAGTACCTATCACTTGGGTTTACAGTGTCCTGGAGATGCGTTGTGCTCAAGTTGAGGAACCGGACTGCCAACACCAGTAAGTCATACTGTCTTGCAGCAAAATCTTGAGGCGTGGACCTGAATCTCCTAGTAGGCAGCCACCAGTGAGATACCAGAAGCCGACAAAGGAAAATCTTCACTAGTTACCAAAAGAAGGGACAGTGAGGCTTCCCTGGGCGCCCAGAGCAGCAGTGAGAAGGCTGCCAGGATGAAGGAGAACATTCTGTTCCCACGGGTCTTCCTGGGTCTCAGAGTGGCCCCTCTTCCTTTTGAAGCAAAGTCCTCAGATTTATCTCCCAGCTCCTGCCCCATTCCTTCAAATGCCTACAGTCCTTCATCATCCCTTCTCTTCCCAGAGGCACTTCCTTGCTTTTATTTTTTTATCCGTATGTTCTTTCATAATAGATTGTGATGATCCAGATCTTCCACAACTTCAATAGGAGCTCATTTTTCCTGGATAACAGGGAAGATTGTTCAAATACTACCAGAATTTTGGAGAATGAGAAGGGGGGAAAGAATCTGCATTCATATTTCTTTTATTATGATTTTGTATGCATCTACTATTAAAAAAAAATAATAAAAGTGCCACATTGCCCTATTGAAATATTGTACACATTGTCTGAAGAGAAAACAACTCTTAAAGAACCTATGTACTATACCTTGACACAGAGTGGTAAATTGGAAAAACAGTATTTCTTAGAAAGGCCATTCAAATACATGACATCATTGTTTCACTGGTGAAGACATCTCTGACCTCCCTAGACAAAACTGATCATCCCTTCCTGTCTACAGCCACTGTACCTATCACATCTGTCTGTTTTAACATGTATCACAGTACCTCGTAATTACATATTTTTGTATACATTTCCTGCTGTACTCTTCAAACTCTTTGAGTGTACGGGCTCTGCCATATTCACCACAGCAGACTTGGTGTTGCGTGAACTATCAGAGATATGACAGTGCTTAATAAAAGTTTATTCATTGAAAAAGTCCTTTGAAGACCATGCAAACACTTCAGTTCATTCGAAGGTCATTGGGTGTTTAATATGTATGGAGTAGGTATACACAAAGTTATATCATCTGCCAAACTGACCAAATTAGGAAATTCTTGAGGTCTAATCAAATCTTCAGCTTTGCCATTGCGTAAAACAAACTATTCTGGGGCTTATTTATAGTCAGTTTGGAATACAAAAAAGAACCAGCTTCAGGTTATGCTTGTTACTAATTAGCTAAATGAACTTCAGCAATTTGGGTAACCTGTGGGCCCTAGGTCCTCTCCTGAACACGAGTGGATTATACAGGATGATGTCTTAGTTCACTTACAGCAGCAAAATTCTATTCTTTGATATGCAACAGTAGTATGAAGGTGCTGTAAGAAGTGGGAATATGTTAGTTTAAAGCTGTGCAAAGCAGCTTGGTGGAAACAGCAATTGTACACAATTAGAGAATGTGCCACAACTCTATAGAATGAACCGCTTTCACTTTTTCTCTCTATTTTTTAAAAGAAATTGCCTTAGAGACTACAGACCCACTGTGATGATGAGAATATTATTGAAAGCAATACCTAAATTGAGGAGACTTTCAGACTCAATACCTTTTGTGAGATTCAGTGAAGTCTTTTTGCTGTTACTTTGGGGAGAAGAAATTGGAAAACTACTGTGAGCCAACAAAGGAGGACTCTAAAGGTACGTCTTGGCCATTAATGTACTACTAAATGATGGTATTCATTGGACAAGGCTCAGGAATTCTCATTCTAAAAGTTGGACTTGTTTTTGAAAAAAGAATCTGCAAAGACAATGATATATTTGCTCACAGTTTGCATCTCAATGATACATTTGCAGGCACATTCCTGTCATGTTAATGAGGCTTTTGCCACTGCTTGGCCCCAGTGACAGTTGGATCCACAAACAGCAGTCCATCAATTGATTGCAGGTGTTTCCCCTTGGAAACTAAAAACTGCGTGTACAGACCACAAGGTGAGGGAAAATCGATTTTCAACAGCCACACAATCTGGTGAGTTCTGGAAAACAGCTTTGGGAAACAAATTCTCTTGCTGTTGTTTTCATATATAAATATATTCCATTTATAAAATGTAAGATCAAAGACATCAATAGTAGTAAGGATTCATAAATCGAAAATTAATTACAACATACCTAGAAAGGGACAAAAACTTTTTCCTAATTAATAGAATATAAAATCTCAAAATATTCTATGTCATGGTCCACTATTATTCTTATGGAAGTCATTCATATTTTCACTATATTTGTAAGTTCCTGTCGAAAGTATTTCTTAACATACATAAAGGAACAATTTGATGAGAAACATGCTGAATTTCAATTTAGAAAGCTCCCAGCAATGTATATAATCTTACAAGTACATAATTCCCCAAGTTTGGGATTCCACTTATGCTTAACGTTTTTTCAAATTCTCAAATAGATGCTTAAGACAATCCTATCTCATTGGGCCCTCTGACTTTCTCAAATGAGATTTTCTTCTTGATAATCATCTTTAGACTTTTAGGGAAGGCTCTTGTTTTCTCCTAATTGACCTGTCGGCCGTCATCCTTTCTTACTACGGTCTGCTGTAGACGATTCCACCAACACCATCTTCCATCAACATTTTCACACCTCGGCCCAGCTGTCTTAGAGCCTTAATAAGAATGTCATTATACCCAGGAAGTCTAATTTCAGAAACTGAAATTTGTTCGTTGGAAAAGAACTATACACTATGGGTTATTTATGGATAGTAGTTGGCATGTGTTGTATGATGCAAAAATAAATAGAAAAAATAGACAGGGATAAATTTACAAATGTGTTCATATCTGAATATCCCTTGATAACCCAAAACCCTAAGGATCAGTTTCTACTAATGTTTTCTAGTTTTAATATGTTCTATATAACAACTATATGCGTAAAAACTATTAGTAAGATTCCGTCATGTCCCTAAGGATCTGGATAGAGCAGGGTTTTGCACCCTCAGCACTATTGACATTTGGGGCCAGACAACTCTTTGTTGGGGGCTGTCCTGTGCACTGTAGGGGATTTATCACTGTAGGATGTTTATCCATGGCCTCTGCAAACTAGATGCCAGTAGTAACTATTTTCTCTGCCTGCTCCCAAAGTCACGTCTCCAAATGTCGCCTGGGGAGGCAAAATCATCCCAGTTGAGAACCATTGATTTAGAGCCTTTATTGGGAAAATATTTTACTTTCCTCTCCCTGTAGATATATTACAACAATTCGCAGTGGGAAATCAAGAAACAGGAATTCTGATGCTCAGTTCATCTGTCAAATTTTGAGAGCAATGACAATTTTGGAGAGAGCACTCTGAGTTAGGACCAAGAGGCATAGCTTTTAGTAGCTGATTTTTCTCACTATTTCTGTGATTTTGGACATGTTTCTTAAATTCTAGAGACTCTGGTCTCCTTACATACGTATAGGGATAGTGAAGGAATAGAGTCCTCTGCTCTTTGCAATGCTGAGATGCCATGCTACCGACTCTACACATTTATTTTGAGGAGTAAGGGTAGTACTTGCAAATAACATCAAAACTTTCAAGTTAAAATAGCT